ACAGAAAGGTTAGTAATTCTATAACCATTGAAATCTAATAGGTAAGAAATTTTCTCAGAAAGGAAATACAAAGTTCAGACAATGTCATAGGCAAGCTCTACCCAATTTTCAAGGAACGGATTTTTTAAATCTTCATCTTCTCTTTGAGGAGAACAGACAAAAAAGAGAGAGAGAAAACATTCACTAACTGATTCTATAACCTGGACATCAAAACCAGAAAAGAGCAACAGAAAAAAAGGAAAATTATAGGCCAACTTCATCACTGTACTAGTGTACACTTTACTAGCAACCACTAAAAGAATACCACTACAACTAAGTATATACATATTTTTTTTAAGATTTTATTTATTTATTTGGGAGAGAGAGCGAGCATGAGAGGGGAGTGTCAGAAGGGGAAGCAGACTCCTTACTGAGTGGGGATTCTGATGCAGGGCTCCATCCTGGGACTCCAGGATCATGACCTGAGCCGAAGGCAGCCACTTAACTGACTGAGCCACCCAGGTGCCCCAAGTATGTATATATATGTATTTTTTTTTCCCTAAAAAAATAATTTTAAAAATAGGAATGGGGAAAGAAAAGAAAAAAAAATATATTTGCAAATAACATTATTTGCAAAGAGACCAATTCTAAATATAAGAATTTGGTAAAATGGCTGGATATAAGAGCAGTGATCAAAATCATTAACTTGTGTACTCACTTCAGTAGCACATATACTGGAATTGGACCAGAGATTAGCATGGACCTTGCACAAAAATGACATGAAAATTAGCAAAGTGTTCTGTATTTTCATTTTTGCAATGTGTCTGTAAATCTCAAATCATCTCAAAATAAAAAGTTGAAAGAAAAGTGTGACCTCGTAGGTCAGGAAACAAAATCATACGTTTAAAAGATACTATTTAGGGGCATCTGGGTGGCTTGGTCAGGTCAGTGTCTACCTTTGGTTCAGGTCATGATCTCAGGGTCCTGGGATACAGCTCCCTGCTTGGCGGGGAGCCTGCTGCTCCCGCTTGTGCTCTGTCAAATAAATAAATAAAGTCTTAAAAAAAAAAAAGATACTATTTATAATAGAACAGAATAGAATAGAATCTTATTCATAAAAGGTATAAAAACTAGGAGTAAATTCAACAAAAGAAGAGCAAAAACTTCATAAGGAAAATTCTAAAAGGTTCAAGAACAAACTAGAGCTATGCTATTTTTATGAAAAGAAAATTCAATATTATGATGTTGTTTTTTTCCATGAAAGTTCCTATTGTTTTAATGCAAATGCAATTAAAATCCCAACAGAATTCTTGGGGAAACCAGGGAAGTAGATTTCAAAATTGCACACAAACAAACAAAAAAAAGGCAAAGGCATTATTAATAAAGCAGGTGGGGGAACTTGCTTAAATAAATACTTTCTAGGGGCATCTGGGTGGTTCAGCCTTTAAACATCTGCCTTCAGCTCAGGTCATGATCCTGGGGTCCTGGGATTGATCGGGCTCCCTGCTAGGCAGGAAGCCTGCTTCTCCTCCCACTCCCTGCTTGTATTCCCGCTCTCACTGTCTGTCAAAAAAAAAAAAAAAATTAATAAAATCTTTAAGGGAAAAAAAAGACTTTCTATAGTCACAGAAATGTAGATGTTTGATATTGGTAGTGGGATAAACAATAAACCAATGGACTAGAGAGCCCATGAAAATCCCAAAATCCACACATATATGGAAACATGTATGACAAGTGGAAGGGTAGATCAACAGGGCATAGATGAACCATTCACTAATGGATTTTGGACAACTGGTTGTATCCATGTTTTTTTTTTTAAGTGATTTTTTTTCATTATATCAAACCATCTACATACACACATACAATGTAGACAGAGTAAAGAGTTAAATATGAAAAACAAAGCTTTACTATTGTATCTTAAAAATCATGAATGAGTATTGAATTTTATCAAATATCTTTTCTAAATGTATAAAATAATCAGTTATTTTCACTTTATTCTTTTCATGCATTGAATTACAATGATAGATTTATTCATGCCAAACCATTCTTTCATTTCCAAATAATTTTTTTTAAAAAAAGCTTTACTTACAACTTTTAGAATGTAGAATATCTTTATTAAGGATATCTTAAAATACAAAAATCACAAAACACACAGAGAAAAGCTAATAAATTTGACATTCAACTTAAAAATTTCTGCCTAAATATATATCCTAATTCTAATCAAACATTTGGACCTAACTTCCAGTTCATAGGAAATAGAAGAGAAGACACCATGAAGTTACCACCAAATAATTCCCCAAATCTGAAACATTCTGTGAAATATTCTGGCCTGAACTCTTCAAAAAGTCAATGTCATTAAAAAAAAAAAAAAAAAAGAGGTGGGATGGATGGTTAAGAAATTCTTCTAGATTAAGAAAACAAAATGACAACAACATGCGAGGCCTGGACCTTGAGTTTGGGTTTAAAAACAAAATCCACACCTAAAAATGACATTCCTGAGACAATCAGGGAAATTCAAATATTGACTATGTGTTATATATTATAGGATTATTGTTACTTTGTTAAGTGATCTCTACGCCCAGTGTCGGGCTGCAACTCCTGACCCTGATATGGAGCTGCATGCTGTACCAACAGAGCCAGCCAGGAGCCCTTATTATTAATTGTCTCAAGTGTGATAATAATATTGTGGTTAAACAGGATGCTTGCATTTTAGGAAAGCATGGTGAAATACTGAAAAGTGAAAGGTCATGATATTTTCAACTTACTTACAAACCGTTCAACAACAAAGAGTTATTGGCTGTTAAATCTGGATGGAAGGTATATGGATGTTCACAGTTTTGTGTTTCTATATATGTATGAAGCTTTTCATATTACAAAGTTGAGGGGAAATTCATAACTTGTACTCTTCCAAGGGCATCAATAGGAAGGTGAAAAAATTAGCCACAAACTGAGAGAATATGTTCATAACATCTCATGGTAATAATGGATTAGTATCCACAGTCCATAAAATTCTGTAAGAAGAAGACAGTAACTTCACATAAAACGGGGAAAAGACATGTAAAACTTTTCAGAGGGAGCCATCAGGAATTAATAAAACACATATGAAAAAAATGCTCAACCTTGTTAGCATTTAGGAAATGCAAATTTAAATACTGAGATTTCCACTTGGGCCAAAAAGAAAGTGACAGGACCAGGATTTACCTTCCCCATTTTAAACAAAAAAAACCTGTACAAAGTATATACTACATAGTTTTTCAGACACTGGACAGCAGCCAGTGCAGGACAGTGATTCTTGAGAGAAGGAAAACAAACAAGAAAGCGACAATTGCCTGAGCTGATGTGCAATTTCCACACTGTAGGACTATGACAGGGATGTGATTCGAAAGAGCTTGGGAGTCTCCGGGAGGAGGAGAGTTGGCGGAGGCAAGATGAAGTTTGTAGGGCAGAATACTGGAAAAAGGAGGGAACTACAGAGGGAAGAGTTCCAGATCTGCAGAGGGTTTGCCCGAGTCTTCAGCTGAATATTCATTGGTGTATACACACGAGGAAACCACCCAAAGGTGGGAAAGAACCACCAGGAGAGAGTAGGCAGCACAACCTGGGAGTTCATATAGGGCTCAAAATAGTTCTTGTTCCCAATAGCCAGAGAGGAGAAATCTCCGAAGAGACTAAGCAAAGGGGAGATTATTCAGAAGGGTATTACCTCAGTAGCGGGCCACATTAGCCCGAAAAGGTCTTCTGGTTCTACCTCATTACACTTAAAAGCAAGCTATAAAAGGATCAGACTGTTTGCAAGTAACTTAATTATGTTCCAGAGAAAGCTCAACATATTTAAAGGAACCCAAAAACTCTAGTATGCAGCAATGTAAAATCTAAACATTACCAGGCATGCAAAGTAAATCACAACTTAATAATGGGTGGGGGAAAAAAATCAACCAACAGAGACAGACCGGAAGTGATACAGATGACAGAATGGCCAAATACATTAGAACAGCTATTATTAATGTACTCCAGGTGTTAAAAAAAAAAATGGAGGAAAGCATGAGCCTGTTAAGGAAAAGCACGGAGGATATAAAAAAGACCCAAATGGAACTTCTAAAATTAAAATATTGTATCTAAGGTGAAAAATACATTGGATGGGATTAACAGAAGATCAGATACTTCAGGAGAAAAGATGAATGAACTTGAGGACACAGCCATGGAAACTATTCAATTTATGAAATAGGAGAAAAAGACTTCACCCAAATGCAGCATCAGTATAATGTGTGACAACCTCAGATGGCCTAACATACAAGTCACTGGAGTCCTGGGAGAGGAGTGAGAGGAGGGGAGGGACAGAAAAAAGTAACTGAATAAATAATACCCACAGCATTTCCAAATTTGGTGAAAATCATAAACCCGTAGGTAAACAGCCCCAGCAGAAGAAACATGAAAAAACTATACCAAGCACATCATAATCAAATTGCACAATAGCAGTGATAAAATGTTAAAAGCAGCGGGCAGCGGTGGGGGGAGGGTGGGAAAAAGCAGCCAGAGAAAAATAACGAGTTACATATAGAAGAACAAATATAAGAATAATAGTAATCTCCTTGCTGGAAACCAAAAGAAGTTACCACTAAGCATCCACTACACTGGTGAAATTTAAGATTGAAACTAAGAAGTGTTCAAGATGGTGTAAAATGAAGGTAACTCACATAGCGCTGGTCTGGGCATAAACTGGTTCAGCCACTGCAGAATATAATTTGGCATTATCTTGTAAAGATGAAGATATCCACACCATATGAGCGAGCAATATCACTCCTGGACACAGAATGTTCCCGGCAGCACTGTTTGCAACAGCAAAACCAAAAACAAACCAACAACTCCAAATGTTCATTAACAGAAGAATGGGAGAGTTGTGGTCTATTCATATGATGCAATAAAGCAATAAAAATGAATGATTCTCTAAAGAAATACTAAGTTGAAAAAGCAAGTCACAGAAGTAAACATACATTATGCCACATATAAAATTCAAAAACATACAAAATTTAACTTTTTATTTTTTAATACATACATTGTTGTAAAACTGTAACAAGCAAGAGAATGACAAATACAAAATTCAGAATAATCATCACTTGAGGAGAGAGCACAAAGAGGGTTTCTAAAATGCAGGTGATCTTCTATTTCTTAAGCTGGCTCATGGGCACACAAATACTTACTATTCTTTATACCTTATATATACATGTCTGTGAATTTTTAAGTATGAAATACTTCATTTAAAAAAAAGAGTGGGAAATGTGAAAGACTTTAAAAATGAAGACTACTGTTTATGAATAACAATAAAATTAGTGTAAAAAAGTATACCCAAAAAAATGTTCAGTTCTTTATATAGTCTTTCTGTGCCCTATACAATCAGTATCAATTGAAAAGGGCCATAACCCTAGGATGAAAAAAAAATAATGAGCAGAGTCTTTAAGGGCTTTGACACAAAATCTGAATATCTGAGGCTCTACATTAGACAACAGTAAATACATTAGCCACTCATGTCTGATTCTTCATTTTTCATCTGTACTTAGATTTTTCTTTATCTTTGGATTTCTTGGGACTCCTACTTCGGTCTCTCTTTTTACTCCGTTCTCTTTCATAGGGGTCGGTCTGGTATTTGGATTTGTGACTATTACTGTAGTGGCCGTCCCTTTCTCGAGATCGGCTACGACTTCGGTTTTGAGGTCGGTCTCTCTTTTCACTCTTTTGTTTCTCCCAACAGCTTTCTTCTTCTTCATAGTGACCAAACCCCATCTCCCTGTAGATATCCTGTCAAAGGAATGGAGAGAGAGTTACAAGTGAATCCGTAAAATAATCATTTTGTAGGTAGTCAATTGATAAAACTCAGAAAGTCTACCATACCAAGCAGCTGTAACAGCTCAAATCTGAACACTACCACTAATGCTGAGAATCTTCTAAATTAGCAAAAATAACTCAGAAAGACTTAATCATTTTTCTTATCAATCTCATTGCTTTCTATCTACTACTTCAGCTGAACTGAAGGATCAGATCCCAAAACAAAGAACTGAAATCACCCAACTGAAATCAGAACAAGTGTTTAGAGAAAATCACAATACCAAGAATTCTGGCTGTGGCTAGTCATCTTTCTACCTCCCCCTTCTCTACTCCCCAACTGATCTGCAATGGAATTACTAAAACTCCCATAAAAACCTTAAAAAGAAGACATTTAAATAACAGCCAGAAGAGGTTTTAGACAAGTCAATCAGTCTAAAAAGAAAACAGATACTGCATACTTTGGTCTGAGTGATTATTTTTATTTTTTTATTTTTATTTTTTTAAGATTTTATTTATTTATTTGACACAGAGAGATCACAAGTAGGCAGAGAGGCAGGCAGAGAGAGAGAGGGGGAAGCAGGCTCCCTGCTGAGCAGAGAGCCTGATGTGGGACTCGATCCCAGGACCCTGAGATCATGACCTGAGCTGAAGACAGAGGCTTAACCAACTGAGCCACCCAGGCGCCTGAGTGATTATTTTTAAAGTGTTTATTTTTTAATAGCTTCTCTCCAAATCTTTAATATATTTCCCTTGTTTACATTAGGCTGATATATGTGTTTTACTAAAATCATTTCTTGGGATGCCTGGGTGGCCTAGTCGGTTAAGCATCAGACTCTTGATTTTGACTCAAGTCCCGATGTCATGAGTCAGGAGACGGAGACTGGTGTCAGGCTCCACCCTCAGAGGGGAGTCTTCTTGAGAGTTTCTCCCGCTGTCCCTCCCTGCTCACATGCATGCACTCACTCTCTAATAAATAAGTCTTAAATAAATAAACAAATAAATAAAATCCTTTATTTACATATTTCTTAAAAATGAGTTAAGAAACAATGGGCCAACAGAGTAGATACATTAAATTCTTTTTTTTTTTTTCTTTTTTAGAGGGGGAGAGAGAGACAGAGACAGAGAGAGGAGAGGGGCAGAGGGAGAGAATCTGAAGCAGGTGAGCCACCTAGTGCCCCTACATTCTATTCTTACTAAGTAACAGTAATAATTTTCCTATCTGAAGAGAGCTAGTTACAACAATTCTATTTCTCTTTGTATTCTATCCCTAATTAAAATGAGTATCTCAGGGGAGCCTGAGTGGCTCAGTCTGTTGAGCATCTGACTATTGATCTCAGCTCAGGTCTTGATCTCAGGGTTGTGAGTTCAAGCCCCACCTTGGACTCCACTCTGGGCATGGAGCCTACTTTAAAAAAATAAATAAAATAAAATGAGAATCTCAGCAAGTGGCTGAAATCTAAAAAGAGACCAGAGCCAATGCTCTTTCAAGAGACAGTTCATAAAATTCAACTTCCTTAAAAGATTTCTCTCAGAGGAAAGCAAAATCCTAAGGATTGAGTTCCCAAGGGTCCCAACTCTATCACCACAGACATTATTATAGTAGATGTAAATGTCAAGGTTTCAAATCTAGAGTGATGAATACCCATGGTTAATAACTGGGTTTTAAGGATTCATAATTATTCATAATTATTCCATATATTGTCTAGACACTGTACCTTACACCTGGCATGGAGACTGCAGCACGTGAAAATAGATCTAACAGGATTGTTATAATCAGTGTTTGTGGAATACAACTTTATAAGCCATTTCATGATTTCCTGCACAATCCCAATAGTTCTTTTCACTCTATAAAGTCCCAGAGGAATGGTTTAACTCTTTAACAACTACTTCCGAGCAATATATGACATCCCTAGATAAAAGAATTTTTTGTGCTTCCTTTAACATACACAAAGTGTAAATATCTATGTACTATTCTCTCTGTCTACTTAAGTCCTGTATTAGATGAGGTAACAAACTTCTAAAATGGAGAGACGGCTAACAGATACAGAACTATAAAATCTTCAGTAATTATACAAATAGGCACTTAAGTGCTTTGAGTGTTTAAAATACAACAGAAAGAGATAAAAGATTATACAGTACTTAATTCTCTGAAAAACTTGATGAAACTGAAAATCTGAAATGCACTGAAACCTTAAAACCTCTCCTACTTGGGGCACCTGGGTGGCTCAGTTGTTACGCATCTGCCTTCTGCTCAGGTCATGATTCCGCGTCCTGGGATCGAGTCCCACATTGGGCTCCCTGCTCAGCAGGAAGCCTGCTCCTCTTTATCCTACTCCCTCTGCTTGTGTTCCCTCTCCCCGTCAAATAAATAAAATCTTAAAAAAAAAAAAAAAAAAGCCTTTCCTACTTGGAGTATTTTTCGAAGCTACACTAAAGTTTGGCAGTTCTAGGTTCAAAATGGTCTTTGTTATTTAAGAGAGGTGTCAAACAAGAAATAATCTTGAGATTAGATTTCCCAGGGAAGGTTTCATAGAGAAGTTGGGACTTGAGATTAACCTCAATGAATGAGCAGGTTTGGCTGCAGATGGGCTGCAAGAAGGCTCATGCACGGAGTGGAAGTGAAAACTAAAAAGGAAGACTCAGCACCATGTGCACGAAGGGGAAAAGGTCAGGAGGCTGGATGAAGCCATATTAGAATAGACCTTTAAGTGTGTGCTAGCACAGTGCTAAGTATTTCTGGAATACAATATTACCCTCATTCTAGAAAATAAGGAAAGTGAGACTCAAGAGATCTATACAGGGTGGAGAAAATTTAACTGATTAGTCACTTGACATACAAAATTGAAAAGGGGGTGGTAGAGAACAATGAAAAACCCCATACCTGACTGAATCAATATAATGTTAAAGTTCTAGCTCTCTCATTAAACTATAAAAGGCCACAGGCCTGTGGGGTCAAAATCTTTACATCTAAGGGAAAGGCAATGAATTAGATGAGCTGTCAGCCCTCTCCAGTGCAGACTTTAAAAAATTCTATCATTTTATACCCTTAAGTCGTAAGACAAAATGACAAAACTAGCATGTGGCTAAAAAGGAAAGAAAGAAACACCACAAAATAGCCAATTTATTTATTTTTTTAAGTGGCCAATTTAAAGCAATCACCTTAACCTATCCAATGATTTCATATAAAGCAGTCCAAAAAAATCTAAACTAAAAACTATCCTTGCTCAGGTCTCTAGGACCAAATCAAAGATTTTAGTTAAGTCTAAATCACTAAAATAACATTAACTGATTAAAATGACAGCAAAAACAGAGTCCCCAGTTATAAGAAAATAACCACTTATGAAAGCCACAGAGGAGAACTGACAACCAGGATGCATCCTCTCCGCCAGGCAACCCACAGCCCAAAACTCACTTCCCGAAACTCCAGTAAAACCCAAACCTCAACAACATAGTAACCATCTCTGGAATTAAGACACAAGGTGGAAAAATTAAACAGAGAAGTTTTCAAATTGAACAGTGAGGCTGTCAATCAATACAAAACAAAGAATTTGAAGAAATAAGTTAAAACATTCTTAGGAAACTAGGCTCACCAAGCAAAATACCAACAAACAGGAAAATCTGAGCTACACTTGAGCATGACCTAGTACTGAAAATTCCCTTTAAAGATTATATTTTTGAGACTGAAATCAAAAGGATAAAAATCAGAATAATAAGACAAAAAAATGGGCCCACTAAAATCTTAAATACAGATGCTATTTCATTGGGAAGAAAAAGAAAATTAGTGTACTTGTATTATTAAATCAAAGTACAAAACAAAAAAACATTTGCTTTGAGGGGAGAAATAAGTTAAGAGATGATTATTTGGAACTTAACAATTTTATAACTGCCAAGTAATTTAATATTATTTTTTTTAATTCTAACATTGCCCCCAAAAACCACTTAATGGCTTTTACTCCATGCCAAAAAAGAAAAATATTTTCTATTGTAAAGTTTTAAGTAATCAAACAGCAGGATAAAAAAGATGTACAAAAAGAAGGGGGAAACACACACTTAAAATGCAGCCAGATTTTGGATTATTTAGACCTCTGGTTATTTCAAATACACCAATATGTATCTCACACCTAAATTCACTGAAAATTCAATGTACAAGTACAGGATGAGAAGCCATAGCTAAAAGCAACAGGCAGCACAGTGGTCGGGGGTGATGCAGGGGGTGGAGATAAGGAATTCTAGTGGAAAACGTGCTAAATATTCATAGAAATGTGATGTAGCCACCATTTCAAAAGACTGGGGTGGTCTTAGCCTAAACTAATACAGTACAAAAATTAAGAGGGAGACATGCCAGTTAGATCACACTGGAATATTACACGAGGAGACAAATTTTATTAGGATAGCAACAGAATTTAGGAGAGAAAACTGTCAGAATGTACTCGAGGTCAGAGCAGCAGCAGAGTGGCTAGGAGTGCAAGTCTGGATTTACACTGTGGCTCTGCTACTCATCAGCTCTGAAAAACCAGGGCAAGTCACTTAAACTCTTCAGTTTTCACCCTCTCTTGTAAAATGGGGAAAATCGTATCCACCTCACATTGTCAAGCACACAGATGCCACTAGCTGTCACTGAGGCATGTGCGTCTTAGTTGGGAGAACTGAGTAACAGAGGAAAGGTGTGACTTACACGCTTACAGCGGCGCATTAAAGATGGGACTCTTTAAATAGCAAAAAGGCGGGGCGCCTGGGTGGCTCAGTGGGTTAAAGCCTCTGCCTTTGGTTCGGATCATGATCCCAGTGTCCTGGGATCAAGCCCTGCATCAGGCTCTCTGCTCAGCAGGGAGCCTGCTTCCCTTCCTCTCTCTCTGCCTGCCTCTTGGCCTACTTGTGATCTCTGTCTGCCAAATAAATAAATAAAATCTTTTTTAAAAATTTAATAAATAAATAAATGAAAATAAGTATCTTTTAAAAAAATAAAAATAATAAAAAATAAAGTAAAAAAAAAACTTCAATAGCTATAAGCACTATCCATAACACTAGGTGATAAGTTAAAATGACAAATGAGCACAACCACACTTGCTTCTGATGGGAGTAAGTGTCCACAGGTTCAGAAATCACTCGTTTCACAATATGGAACTGAATGATATATATTAAGTTACTCTGAAGACAATCTTTTACCATTTGTGATCTATATTCTTGAACACTCAAGTCCCTTAACTCAGAGAAACCATTCTATGTACTAGAGTTAGGAACATAACCACCCTGTTCAGAACTATATCCGCACCCCCTATATTATGCCACTAAGAAATAATTTACAGAGGGATGAAATATTTCTCTCTCCAGCTAAGGCTGGACATTACAAGTACCTGGTTGGTATTTCTGATTGGCATGTAGTCCTCATCTTCTTTTTCTTCAGAGCAGTGACGAGTTTTCTTCTTGTGTTTTTTACTTGTGTGTGAATGACTTGATTTTGAATCTTCTGCTTGCTCATCTAGCACAAGATCATATTTTGCACTGCAGCAACTAGTTAAGGACAGACATGAGAACTGACACTGATAATACAACAAAATGTAAGAATCTGGTAAACGAAGGAGGCCATGAGGCTAAAGGTAATTTTTTAAAGCAAAAAGCACCTCACAAGCATAGAACTTATTTCTGAAACAAAACTACTTCATATTTTCTTTCAGGAAAAATGGACAGGACCCTGTCCTAAAGTAAACAATTAACAATTGGCAAGTGAGTGGGGGAAAAAAAAAAAAAACAGGGGGCAAAGAAACCTATATTCACAAATGAAAATTTAAGCAGCCATAAAAAATAAGGAAACTTATTTGTCAATAATGAAAAAAACTTAAACTTAGAAAATGAAGTACATGTTTCACTGGAAAAAGTTAAGATATTATAAACCCCAATGATAGAGGAGCTACAGGAGATAAAAGACATTCATGTGACCCCTCTTTTCAAGTATTAATTAGTTCAATTCTATAGGAGAAAATTTAGCAAGGCCTCACAACAGCCATATTTAAATTGAAGGAAGAATTTATAAAAGGTTAAAATAAGTTAAATAAAGGTATACATAACAATTACTTTTTGTAACAGAAACTGAGAGTAACAAAAGCCTAGTAATAAAGACATTCTTAAATATACTGTAGAACTTCAACAAGATATATTATTACAAAGAAGTTATTAGCAATGATAAATGAATGTTACAAAAACACCCAGAAAAGTGACTATGAAAAATTAAAAGTGGAAAAAGCTTGAAATAAAAATTATCTATACCATATGGTAATCATAACTTTACAAAACATAAAAGATCAGGGCGCCTGGGTGGCTCAGTGGGTTAAAGCCTCTGCCTTCAGCTCAGGTCATGATCCCAGGGTCCTGGGATCGAGCCCCGTGTCGGGCTCTCTGCTCTGCAGGGAGCCTGCTTCCTCCCCTCTCTCTCTCTGCCTGCCTCTCTGCCTACTTGTGATTTCTCTCTCTGTGTCAAATAAATAAAATCTTTAAAAAAAACAAAAAAAAAAAAAAAAAAAACAAAAAAAACATAAAAGATCAAGATTTGAAAGAAACAATGAGAAAACTATCATTTGTCTAGGTAAACTGTGAGTGGATTTTTTTTTCTTAGTTGAAGTGTAGCTGACATACAATATTGTGTTAGTTTCAGGTATACAACACAGTGACTCCACATTTACAGACGTGAGTGCATCCTGTCTTAACTTCATATAAATGTGTTATTTTTTAAGGATTTTTAAATTTTTGGGGCGCCTGGGTGGCTCAGTGGTTAAAGCCTCTGCCTTCGGCTCAGGTCATGATCTCAGGGTCCTGGGATCGAGGATCTGTGATCTGTCAAATAAATAAAAAAAAAAAAAATCTAAAAGGATTTTTTAGTTTTTTATTTGACAGACAGAGATCACAAGTAGGCAGAGAGGCAGGCAAAGAGAGAGGGGGAAGCAGGTTCCCCGCTGAGCAGAGCCTGATGCGGGGCTCGATCCCAGGACCCTGAGATCATGACCTGAGCTGAAGGCAGAGGCTTAACCCACTCAGCCACCCAGAAGCCCACACATAAATGTGTTATAAAAGTTATGGTAATGTGTTTTAATTCAGTAATGGTAATGTAATTTAATTCTAATATACTATTATGTTTTGGAATAAGAAAAAATGCAAAACTGCTGCACTCTCTGTTGAAAATAATCTCAAATTCTAAAATAGTATCTGAGGAAGGCTGACAAGGGCCAGAATAGCGGTTTTCAAAAAAACAGCTTCGGAGGAAGCCCAACATGCGAGCTGTTTTAGGGGCATGTGCAACTAGAGGAATGGCAGACACTCAGGACTAGCGTTGTTAGGTCTGTTTTAACAACGCCTAAGCCCTATGCCTTCCTCTGGGGCATCTCACTTCTACGTAACATTGAACAGGCTTGGCTTTTCACAAGATGACTAAAGACAGCCAGTCAGCCTGCACCATATCCTATTCCTACTTCATTATCTCTAACTTCTTTTCTCCTTTATATTACATTACACTGCTTCCAGAGTAGCTTCTGGAGCCTCTCCTTTTCAGGTACGGATCCAACAGCCCTTGCCCAGGATCTCATTTCCTGTGCTGCTGTACACATGCAGCTCCTTCAGTCCAAAATCCATTTAGTGCATCACAGCCAGCATTTTGTAATAAGGTAGAATAGAAAACAGAATACATGGCACCTAATAAAAATACCACGGCATTTCTGTTTCAATTATGTGTGCATGTGAATGGCTATAACCTGCTTCCCTCTCTCTCTGCCTGCCTCTCTGCTTACTTGTGATCTCTGCCTGTCAAATAAATAAAATCTTTTTTTTAAAGATTTTATTTATTTATTTGACAGACAATGATCACAAGTAGGCAGAGAGGCAAGCACAGAGAGAGGAGGAAGCAGTCTCCCTGCCAAGCAGAGAGCCCGACGTGCAGCTTGATCCCAGGACCCTGAGATCATGACCTGAGCCGAAGGCAGAGGCTTCAATCCACTGAGCCACCCAGGCGCCCCAAATAAATAAAATCTTAAAAAAAAAAAAAAAATCCAGTTGCTCAGTCCTTTTCACATGCTGAAAACCACATGGGGCTAGTAGCTACACTGGAGGGTAATATTTTCCACCATTGTAGAAAGTTCTAGTGGACAGTACTGGGCTACAGATTTATTCTCAAACATGCCTGGTTTCTTTAACTTTCAGTAATCTATCACCTTGAATTTAAAACATTTTATGACTACATATTCATTCTTTTCAGCCTGAACTACTTACCTCTATGAGAGAAAAGACAAAAGATATCGCCTTGTATTTTATACTTGATGCTTGTGTTCCTTTTATTTGCCCTACACATCTGCCAGCTGCAGCTATTAATGGTTAGCTTAAATTTATTTTTTTTACAGATTTTATTTATTTATTTGACACAGAGAGACACTGAGAGAGAACACACGCAGGGGGAGTGGTAAGAGAGGAAGAAGCAGGCTTCCCGCTGAACAGAGACCCAGATACAGGGCTCGATCCCAGGACCCTGGGATCATGACCTGAGCCGAAGGCAGCAGCTTAACGACTGAGCCACCCAGGCACCCCAGTGGCTAGCCTAAATTTAATTTCAAAGATTTGTTAAATAAATCTCAAGTGTATTCTATCCAGGCCTTTTATAATTTTAATATTTCAATCACATCCGCCCTAATGTTCATCTTTTTAGACTAAATCTTTGTTTACTGTTTGGTGTGCCTGCATGAGAAAGCTTCCTCCTCATGTCAGTACAATTCAGACTTTATCCACCTCTTGTGCCTCTTATGCCTTACAATGCTTTATGCATTATAGACAGTCAACACATTTTTTAAAATGAGTATATAATAAGTCAACCTGATATTCATCTTTCCTTGATGAATACTTGGAAAAGAAATGTCTAAGACAATGTGGGAAAAGAGAATCCCTAAAACACCAACAGAAATTAGGAAACAAAGAAACCATTTACCAGAAAGAATCACAAAATGATCACTTTCGCAATGTGTAGAGTGATAGATTTATAATGAGAGTATCAATGAACAAATTAAAATGACATAATGTAAATAGTATGTTTCATTGATTTTTACTTGTCTCAACCTAAAAGTTGGAAGAACCTAAATTAAATGGTCAAGTCAATGGATTTTTTTAATCCTATAAAAACCAACTCTTGCATACAAAATGAGCCCAATAAATAGTCGTTGCTGGACTGACAATGTACTAAGCAGAAAGAAGCAACCTAATCATGTAAGAGAACAACAGGATTTTATTAATCTACATATTCACCATCTCCAAAGAAGTTAAATATTATGCAAAAGGTTAACACCAAGAATTTAGCGTACCTATATGAAGAAAATTTCTGAGTATGAGAAATTTAAAACATTACAATTATATACAAAATATGACTCTTACCTAAGATTTCAGAATAAGTGCTAATCTTAACCTAAGAGTAAGGAGGGAAAAGAATTAGGCCAGAGATTTTTTTCAACCCTAACCTTCTTCATACATTAGAGAATACACCAGAGAAAGAAAAGTATATGTAAGATGGTGAAAAAGGACTACAATAATCTAAATGATGTCTTCACAAACCACCAGATTTAGAAAACTTGTCTTCTACAGACTGTGACTTTTTTAACATATTACACAGTACTCTACTGTGTAGATGTACAGAGTAGATGGTCTATCCACAGCGACCAACTGGTTCTTGTAAAGGATACTCCTGCTTGGGCTTTACTTTATCTTTCAAAACTAAATTAGACGGTTTATCCTGTTCTTTTTCATACTCCTTGAAATCACTCTTGGTATATTTCCCACCTATTGATTAAAAAAAAAGAAAAAAGAAAAAAGACTTAGTAAGAAAACTCAAATAATTTATTGAAGAACAAAAACTAATTTGTAAGACATATAATATATCAGCTATTTTGTAAGTGGCATATATATTGGCAGGCAGAAAAAGGCTGAGAAGAAAACAAAAGAATAGTAATTCATTCTCCATTACTATTTTAAATGTAATCAGATACCCATTTTGCTAAGTAGCTGTACATTGCCACCTAACGATGTGTGTGAGTATTACAACATCAAACTTTAAAATTCTCAATTACCAAGAGAATACATTCACTGGGAAATAACGCAGTATTTAAGTAGAGCCATTAACTCCATGAGAAATTTAGGTCCAAAGGAAACTGAGGGCTTGAGACTGGAGTCTGAGATCTGAGAGGCTTAGAAGTTTGGAATAAGTGAGGCTTTAAACTTCTCTGATCTGTCATAAGAGACATGGACCAAAATCTCAACAGAGCACCAAGCAGATAGCACGACATCAGGAATGTACACAGACATTCACTAAAGGGTGTGAAAAGGGAGCGTCCCTCCCAAGTGCCAAAAATGAAATCAACAATCCCTTCAGAAAAACAGGACCTACTGTTATGTCTTGACTGGCCTTCACTGGCAGGGCCAGGAAAAAGCATCCTATGCAGCCCCTCTACTCCCAAGTTGAAAAATATATGTATAAAATATACATACTTCCTTTTTTAAAAGAAAAAGCTATAAATTTACATAAAACCTACATGGGAATAAAAATATGAAATAAGAGGAAATTCTAACATAAAGTAAATATATATGTATGCATGTTCAAAGAATATATGTGGAAAATAATACAAGAACAGATAAGAGCAGTTACCTCTGGGAAGGGAAACTGGAAAGATGAGGGGCAGGAATGGAAGGGAGAGTTTTTTACACCACCTTTTCAATTTTGTACCACATGACAACTAAAACAAACTTCGAAAAAAACTTAAAAGAGTTTTGCTCCTAGGAGAACCAAGCCACCACAACCACCAAAATCATTACTTTGCAAATATGCCGCATTTGCAATGGGTAATTATAATTTATAACACAAAGATAGTGAATATAGTCACCATCAGCTTACATACACAAATACACACTCACACACACTCCCCTAGTACCCTAGATTCTTGTTATCAGCTACATGAAACCATAAATGGCAGAAGTTCCATCAGTGAACTTTTCTCCTAATAAACAGCACTAAGGCAAAGGAGGTACAGCACACACACACACGCACACACACGCATGCACATACATCCACAGTGAATAGAAACAAAGGAAGCTGAACAACATACCTTTTCCTTTCCATTTAACCTTTGCAACAGACTGGCTAAAATCCACATGTATTCTTCTGTCATCTATAAGTACATTGTCCATTTTGAAGAACGCTTTCTCACAATCTTCTTCCTGATAGTAATTATAAAAACTCAAGCATAAATCTTTATGGGAAAGATTTCTGCAGCGAGAACAAATATTGAAAATATCACACGTCTGTTGTTATGAACACTAATTTTGAGTGCCTGTCACACCCCAGGTGCTGCTGCACGTTCTGCATCTATGGGCTCAGTTAACTCTGATAACAAGCGTATGAAGTATTACCTACCATTATCGCCATTTTCTCGAAGAGAACACATATGTTTAGAAAGGTACGGAAGTTGCCAAAGGTCAGCTGGCAAAGGGGAGGGCCATGATTTGAGCTGAGGCAGTGTGACTGTAGTGGACATACATACGCTTACAAACTGTGCTGTCCACGTCCCTTCACAAACCCTTTCATTCAAAACCCAAAAATATTCTGAAAGATGAAAGCTGTTGTTATAAACTTGGTGTTAAAATCCATTTGACAACAAAATTGGACCCAACAGAAGACCGTGGCCTTGACTTATTCCACTTAGTGTGAATATGCATTAGTTTCAGTGCAGAAATATTCTCTGAATGATTATGGAGTGCTGACCCAGAAGAGTATTATATAGTCCATAGACGTGTGTGTAGACACACACACATACACACTTTACCTTTCTAAGTTCTGAAAAACCTGAAATCAGAAACTTAGCTACTCCCAAGGGTGTGGATAATGGACTGTGGGCCGGAGATACCAAGGTCTGTGTTACATAAAGATTCTTCCTGTCAGCAACTTCGCAAACCCTGTATCTCCATTTCTGACATCTGAAGACTAGAAGTGATGCATTTCAACCCAGCGCTGAACAAGTATCTCCTATATTCCTGGAAATATATATATATGTATATATATATTTTATTTATTTGACAAGAGAGAGATCACAAGTAGGCAGAGAGGCAGGCAGAGAGAGAGGGGGAAGCAGGTTCCCTGCTGAGCAGAGAGCCCAATGTGGGCCTCGATCCCAAGTCCCTGAGATCATGATCTGAGCTGAAGGCAGAGGCTTAACCGAGCCACCCAGGCACTCTGGAAACATATTCTTTGGTGGTGTGCTCACAACTTACTAGAGACAATTCAGAGAAGAAGATTTAAAAAAAAAAACAACTAGTTATAATTTATTTATTTACCATGTATGTCAAGAGTTAAATGGATTATAAACTGCATAAAGATACAAAAAAGCTTTATTTATCTCTGTACTACATCATTTAGAACATCATCTGGCGCATGATAGGCAATCAGCGTATTTCTTTTTTTAACCCACTGAGCCACCCAGGCGCCCCATCTTTTTTTAAGTAACCTTTACACCCAACATGGGGTTCAAACTCATGACCCAAGAGTCGCATGCTCTACTGACCAAGCCAGCCAGACGTCCCAACAATCAATGCATGCTTGATGAATCTATATACTTGGACAGGCATAATTGCATCACTACACCATTTCCCTAAAGAGAAAGTTCTCAGATACTTCACACTTATGTAGGCACCTGATTTATGACAAAGATGGCACTGCCAAGCTGTGTGAATAGGAAAACCTTTTTAATAAACTATGAGTCACCTTGCTATCCAATGTAAGAAAAAATGAAATTTAATATGATACACATAACACTCAAAAATCAACTTACAGATCTAAACGGGAAAGATAATTTCACAGCAAACCTTCTAAAGGTAACACTGAAGAATATTCTCATGACTGTGGGGTAGGCAAAGCTTTTAAAAACTAGCCGTAAGAAAAATATTGACAAACTGAACTAAAAATCAGAAATTTCTGCTTATCCAAAGTTGCCATTAGAAATGGCGAAAAGGCAAATCTATAGAGAAGATACTTGTAACATGTACAACTAAAAAATGAGCTTATATCCAGAAAATGTAAACAATCCTTATAAATCAAGAAAAAGGCAGCCAAACACCCAATCAAAAAGTGGGAAAGTCTTCACAGTTACTTCATTTAAAAGAAAAAGGACAGAGGTGCCTGGGTGGCTCAGTGGGTTAAGGCCTCTGCCTTCAGCTCAGGTCATGATCCCAGAGTCCTGGGATCGAGCCCCGAATCGGGCTCTCTGCTCGGCGGGGAGCCTGCTTCCCCTCCTCTCTCTCTGCCTGCCTCTCTGACTACTTGTGATCTCTGTCTGTCAAATAAATAAATAAATAAATAATAAAAAATAAAAAATTAAGAAAAAGGACATCCAAATGCAATAATCATATGAAAGGGGGCACAACAAAGGAAATGCAAAAAAAGCCATCATTAAGATACCACTACACACTCACTAGAATGGATAAAAATGTAAGACTGATCAAACTAAGAACTGGTAAAGATACAAGATGACAGGGACTCTCACACATTGCTAATGGAAGTGAAAATTAGTATAACCACTTTGGAGAAAAAAAAAAGTATAACCACTCTAGAAAACTGACTGAAATAATCTACTATACCCACAACTATCCTATGACCTAGTAATTCACTCATAGGTACATACCCAACAGAAATGCATATATATGTACACCAAAACATATGAAAGAAATAGTTTACCATAGAACCATTCATAATGACTCAAAACTACAAAGGACCCAAGTGTCCATAACAGCTGAATAGAAATCTAAATTGTTTTACATACACATAATAAAATACTATATGGCAACAAAAATCCATATACACACAATGAAATACCATGTCAATGGAAATTAACAAAAAAGGTTAACAAAAGCTACATGTAATCGGGGCACCTAGATGGCTCAGTGGGTTAGAGCCTCTGCCTTTGGCTCGGGTCACAATCCCAGGGTCCTGGGATCCGGACCCGCATCAGGCTATCTGCTCGGCGGCAAGTCTGCTTCCCCACCACCCCCCTGCCCTGCCTGCCTCTCTGCGTACTTGTGATCTCTGTCTGTCAAATAAATAAATAAAATCTTTAAAAAAAAAAAAGCTACATGTAACAATATATAAATCTTACAAATATAACACTTAAGCTAAAGATGCTGGAGACAAAAACACGTACTGTGTTTACATTTATATTACATTTACTATATTATACTATATATTATGTTACATTTACTATATTAAAATTAGACAAAACAGGTCTATGATGTTAGAAGTAGCAGTGATACAGGAGGGCGTCTGGAATTCTTCTAAGTTTTTTTCTTCTAATCGCAGTGCCTGATATACAGAAGGTATTTGATAAATGTTCTGGAATAACTATCAGTTGGAAGGAGCTACAACTGGACACACATCGGTCCAAAGCTGCTTAAAGAAATGACACAGCCTCTGATAGTGGCTAAAAGCAATAGGAACAGAGTCAGACTTTTCTAAATTCAAATCCCAGCTATGACATTCACTAGGGGCATGATTTTAATCAAGTCACATGACTACTATATGTCTCAGTTTACTTATTTGGAAAAGGAGGAAAGTACCTATCTCATAGAGTTGTGAGGGTTAAATGCAGGTCAAATAATATAATGCCTGACTTAAAGAAAGTTAGCTGAGTGACATAAGCTATCATATTATAGATACTATTTAATCCAATATTCAAGTTGAATTTATAAGGAGGGTAATGCCTAGAAATAAGAGTTCTATACAAACTGACAAACACCATAAAATAGGTGGTCAGTGACAGAACTTTGGCTAGTATCTAGAACTTTATACTCAGCCCAGTTCTCTATTACTCAATTATGGATCTACATAAACAATGCTGAAAAATCATTTATACAATGTGAAGGACTTCACCTAAAACTTTAAAGTTTCAAAGATACATAAACTCAGACTGCACCTGACCCTCATGTAAAGGTATACATATTAACACCAAAAGATGTTAAATTTAACCTCTATTTGAATATATAAAATTATCTTTCTTGGGTGCCTAGAGAAAGGGTAAACTAATTTTCTAATTTCAGAGACTACAGAGTTCTATAAGTTTTCACATTTTAACACTATATAAGAACAAAATAAATATAAACTTGAAGAATGTATATTATGACCTACCTTTTCAAATTCAATAAAAGCATAACAGAGGGATTCTCCTGTCTTCCAATCCCGAATAACTTCACAACTGAAAAAGTTTGGAAAAAGTGACTTTTAAAGAAAAATCATTCACTTTTACTCTTCAAAAGTGAAGAACAAAATAAGCCAGTAATTAAAAGTCAAAGTTAGGGGGTGCCTGAGTGGTTTAGTCAGTTAAGCATCTGCCTTTGGCTCAGGTCAGGATCCCCGGGTCCTGCTCAGTGAGGTGTCTGCTTTTCCTCTGCCTCTCTTTCTCTCACACACATAAATCAATCAACAAATAATCCTTTAAAAAATATATCCTCAAAAAATAACCTTTCATGGGGGCACCTGGGTGGCTCAGTTGGTTAAGTGACTGCATTAGGCTCAGGTCATGATCCCAGGGTCCTGGGATCAAGTCCCATATCCGGCTCCTAGCTCGGCAGGGAGCCTGCTTCTCCCTCTGCCTGGTGTTCCCCCTGCTCATTCTCTCTCCCTGACAAATAAATAAATAAAATCTTTAAAAAAAAAAATAACAACAACACAAAACCTCATTAAAAAAAAGTCAAACCATGGAACTATATTCCTCCAAATTTCTTCAATAACAATTAAAAAAAATAGTTCACTGGTATAGTAACAAAATTATCTCAATTCTCCTCTAAATGCCCAATCTTGGCCTACAGTCCTCAATTTCTAATGCACTGAAGAAAGTATAAGATAAAATTATTTACTTTACTGTGCCAAAAGTAAACCCCTGCTAAAAAACTCTTTTAAGTCATAATTCACTTCTGGTCCAAATGAAGATGAATTATAGAATACCTATGTTACTACAAAATAATGTAGGCACATTCATACATATATACATGTTTAATAAGTTTATGCTTTGTAGTTTTTGAATTTTAATATAAATCAAGCTTTGGGGCACCTGGGTGGCTCAGTGGGTTAAAGCCTCTGCCTTCAGCTCAGGTCATGATCCCAGGGTCCTGGGATCGAGCCCCGCATCGGGCTCTCTGCTCGGTGGGGAGCCTGCTTCCTCCTCTCTCTCTCTGCCTGCCTCTCTGCCTACTTGTGATCTGTCTGTCAAATAAATAAAAATCTTAAAAAAAAAAAAAAATATATATATATATATATATATATAAATCAAGCTTAAATTCAACCCCTAAGTATAGCTATTAGACTTCAATCAAGTAAAAGAGCCAATAAGATGGGAGTTGAAAACCATGCAGCTTGTCCATTTCCTCACATAAGTCTCATTTTATTTTTTTTTATTTTTTTAAGATTTTATTTATTTATTTGACAAAGAGATAGAAAGTACAAGCAGGGGAAGCAGCAGGGAAAGGAAGAAACAGGCTCCTGCTGAGCAGAAAGCTCGATGTGGGGCTTGATCCTAGAACCATGCATGACCTGAGCCGAAGGTAGACACTTAACCAACTGAGCCACCCAGGTGCCCCATAAGTCTCATTTTAAAAACATGAAATGAGGAGAATTGTTCCATTCACTTCTTGTTTTATTTTTTTTTTTTAAGATTTTATTTATTTATTTGACAGACAGAGATTACAAGCAGGCAGAGAGGCAGGCAGAGAGAGAGGAGGAAGCAGGCTCCCCGCTGAGCAGAGAGCCCAATGCGGGGCTCGATCCCAGGACCCTGAGATCATGACCTGAGCTGAAGGCAGAGGCTTTAACCCACTGAGCCACCCAGGCGCCCCCACTTCTTGTTTTAAAGCAAAAATGTGTGTGTTGGAAGTGGGACAATCAGTCAATTATGTGTGTGTGTATATATATGTACTTATGTATATATATTTGTATGCACACATATACATACATATTTTTCTTCCCCACTGTACAAAGATTTATCTGTAAAATCCATCACTACAAAATTCTAGAGTTCACAGAGTCATCAAAAAATGTACTTAGAAAATCACCAATACCTAGCTTTTCTAAATCTCTCACTAACTCTAGAGATTACCTTCTTATTGGTCCAAATCTTGAGAATATTATCTCCAGATCTTCATCAGTGGTCACCGGATTCAGTTTACACACAAACAGCACATTTTCTGGAGGTTTAATATCTGCATCAGGTAGGTCTCCCACCTAAATTATAAGTAAACAAAAATTTAAATCAATTCCTTTGTTGTTTCTTTTCTAAATACCCTATCTAGCCCAAAATGCTGATTTCTCTAAACAACTAAATTTATATTAGAAATCTACTGCAGAAAAAATATATATAAAATAAAAAAAATTTAAAGAAAGAAAGAAATCTACTATAGGCTTAGTAAAAGAAATCTAAGTATGATTTCAAAATGTGAAATTACAGGGGCGCCTGGGTGGTTCAGTGGGTTAAAGCCTCTGCCTTCGGCTCAGGTCATGATCCCAGAGTCTTAGGATCGAGCCCTGCATCAGGCCCTCTGCTCAGCAGTAAGCCTGCTTCCCCCTCTCTCTCTGCCTCCCTCTCTGCCTACTTGCGATCTCTGTCAAATAAATAAATAAAATCTTTTAGGGGCACCTGGGTGGCTCAGTGGGTTGAGCCTCTGCCTTCCGCTCGGGTCATGATCTCAGGGTCCTGGGATCGAGCCCCGCATCGGGGTCTCTGCTCAGCGGGGTTAAAGCCTCTGCCTTCGGTTCGCATCATGATCCCAGGGTCCGAGGGTCGAGCCCCGCATCGGGCTCTCTGCTCGGTGGGGAATCTGCTTCCCCTTCTCTCTCTGCCTGCCTCTCTGCCTACTTGTGATCTCTATCAAATAAATAAAATTAAAAAAAAAATTTTTTTTAATTGGAATTACAATGTTCCTGGTAGTAATATTAATAGCTAATACTTATCTACCTCTGACTTTGTATGAACAACATGCTTGGCACTTCATATACACTACCAACCAATTCTTAAAAAACAACCATGTGGTTTCCATTTTAAAAATGAATAAAGTTAAATTCAAAAATGTTAAATAACTTAAGGCCACATAGCAGTAAGCAACAGAGTTGGGATTTGAACCAAGATCTATCTGGCTTCAAAGTCCCAATTTTATCTCCTATTTTACTTTTTTTAAGTATTTCATCTATTAAAAAAAGAATTTATATAAAGTATATCTAAGTTAAGAAGCATGAAAATAAAAAGCTTAAGAACCAAAATGTCCCCTGATCTCACTATGACTCTGCCTTTCTCCCCAGAATACCGAATGTTCTACTTTTTGGTTTTCTTTTTTGGCCATTCCTCTGCATCTTCAGTTTTCCCACATAAGTATGTATCCCCAGCAATACAGTTTTAGTTTTGTTTGTTTTTAAACTTTTGAAAAATATTATTATCCTGACTCTAGACTTCTGCAGTAGTAATGTCCCATTCTTTCATACTGTTGTTTGATATGAAACGGCAACAATTCCTGGACAGTGTTTCTAGCTTTTTACTCTTATCCTCATTATCATCTTCTACTTTGGCCAAACTGAAGTCAACTTTACAGACAACTATTGCACTGCACAGGGAATTCCACTTCCTACGGAAGAACCGTTGAGGGTGACTGTGGGAGAAAACAATGATGATGGAATTGGTTTCATCGTGGGAAAACTGTATTTCCCATGGATCTTTAGATAAAAAAACAATATTGCTTTATACATATATTCAAAAACTCTGAGATAATTTCTGATAACATTATCATGTAAAATGTCTCCTCTTTAAAACACACTTTAAAAAAATTTTTTTAAAGATTTAATTTATTTATTTGACAGAGAGGTAAGAGAGCACAAGTATATACAGCAGCAGGCAGAGGGAGAGGGAGAAGCAGCCTCTCCGCTGAGCAGGGATCCTGATGTGGGACTCAATCTCAGGACCCTGGCATCATGACCTGAGCCTGAGGCAGCCACTTAAATGCCTGAGCCACCCAGGCGCCCTAAAAAAAATTTGTTTTAATCAGAAACAGTAATAAGCAACAGAGCCAGTATAATCTGCTCAGTGTTTCTGAAGCCTATCAAAAGACGATAATCTGGGGTACCTGGCTGACTCAGTCAGTAGAGCATACAACCCTTGGTCTCGGGATCGTGAGTTCAAGTCCCATGTTGGGCATAAAGCTTACTTTAAAAAAAACTTTTTTTAAAAAAGAAAATAATCTATGTCCAATAAGCAATATCCCAGTATGTAAGGGGAAGAGCAAATCATTAAAAATTCTGAAAAGCACCTATAATACTACATCTAAAGGAAGCACAAAAGGAAAAACAAAAAAGGTTACTGAGTTAAAAAAGAACTTGCTACACTACTTAGTCAAAAGTAACTTTAAAATACTATAAGGGGGGCACCTGGCTGGCTCAGTCAGTGGGACATGTGACTCCTGATAATTGGAGTTCTAAGTTTGAGCCACACACTGGGTGTAGAGGTTACTTAAAAATAAAATCTTAGGGATGCCTGCATGGCTCAGTCAGTTAAGCGTCCGACCTTTGATCTAAGCTCAGGTCTTGATCTCAGGGTCATGAGTTCAAGCCCCACATTAAAAAAATAATAATAAAAATTAAAAAATAAAAACAGAAGATAGAGGGGCACCTGACTGACTCAGGTGGTAGACATGTGACTCTTAATCTCATGGTCGTGAGTTCAAGTCTCATGGCTGGGAACAGAGCTTACTTCAAAAAAGAAAACGGCGGTACCCAGCTGGTTTAGTTGGAGGAGTATATGACTCTTGATCTTAGGGTAATGAGTTCAAGCCCCAAGATTACTTACATAAATAAAACTTAAAAGAAAAAAAAAAGATGAAACCTGTTAATACTGAGAATCAAAACAACACAGGATCACCTATTAGAATGGCTAAAAATCCAAAACACTGACAAGACCAGATGCTGACAAGGATGTTGATCAACAGGAACTCTCAATTTTTTTTTAAAGATTTTATTTATTTTTCAGAGAGCGAGAGAGTACATGCATACAAGCAGTGGGAGTGGGAGGAAGGAAGAGAAGCAGGCTCCCTGCTGTACAAGAAGCCAGATGGGGGACTTAATCCCAGGACCCTGGGATCATGACCTGAGTCCAAGACAGATGCTTAGCCAAATGAGACACCTAGGCGTCCCTGGAACTCTCAATCATTACTAGTGGGAATACAAAATGGACAGCCAGTTTGGAAGACAGCTTGGCAGCTTCTTAAAGAGATAAACAATCTTACCATAAATTCCAGTAATTGCACCTTTAGATATTTATCCAAATGAGTTAAAAACGTCTATCTATACAAAAACCTGCATACAAAAGTTTATTGCAGCTTTAGTCATACTTGCCAAAACTTGGAAGCAATCAAGACATTTTTTAATAGGTAAATGGATAAACAAACTGTGGTACATCCAAACAATGGAATACAATTTTGTGATCAAAAGAAATTAGCTATCAAGCCACAAAAAGACATGGAGGAAAGTTAAATGCATATGGCTAAGTGGAAGAAGTCAATCTTAAAAGGCTATATACTGTATGATTCCAACAGTATGACATTCTGGAAAACACACAAGTATGCAGACAATAAAAAGATCAGTGGGGGTTCCCGGGGGTTCAGTCAGTTAAGCATCTGCCTTCAGCTCAGGTCACAATCCCAGAGTCCTGGGATCAAGTACTGCATCAGGCTCCTTGCTCAGCAGGGAGCCTGCTTCTTGTCCTCTGCCTCTTTCTCTCCCTGCTACTCTTGTCCCGACCCCACCCCAAATGAATACATAAAATCTTTAAATAAACAAAAACAAAACAAAACAAAAGATCAGTGGTTGCCAGGGGTTCGGGGCAGGGAGAGATGAATATACAGGGAGTTTTAGGGAGGTGAAACTACGCTCTATGATACTATAATGGTAGATATATATCATTATACATTTCTCAAAACCCACAGAATGTATACAAAGAATAAAACCTAATGTAAATTATGGACTTTACTTAATAATATATCGATATTGGCTTACCAACTGTACCACACTAATGCAAGATGTTAATAAGAAAACTGTGGGGGAGGGGTAGAGAGGTACCCAGGAATTATCTGTACTTTCTGTTCTGTTTTTTTTAATAAACCTAAAACAGTGGGGCACCTAGGCAGCTCAGTAGGTTAAGCATCTGCTTTCAGCTCAGGTCATGATCCCAGAGTCCCGCCACTGAGCCCCATATCTGGCTCCCTGCTCAGCATGGAGTCTGCTTTTCCCTCTCCCTCTGTCCCTCCCCCTGCTCCTGTTCTCTCTCTCTCTCACTCAAATAAATAAATAAAATATTTTAAATACATAAATAAACCTAAAACAGCTCTAAAAAAATAAAGTTTTATTTATTTATTTGACAGAGATCACAAGTAGGCAGAGAGGCAGGCAGAGAGAGAAAGGAGGAAGCAGGCTCCCTACGGAGCCCCACGTGGGGCTCGATCTCAGGAACCTGGGACCATGACCCAAGCCAAAGGCAGATCTTTAACCCACTGAGCCACCCAGGTGCCCCAAAAGAATTATTCTTTAATATACATAATATTTGGTCCAATAAACACTCTTCAAAAATGAGATGAATATAAACAACTGAAATTCAATGAATATTTGTAAATTGTACATCCACTACTCATCTTTTAAAAAGGCACTTGGCACTATATGATTTTGGAACCAAATTTGTTTACTATCACGTATTATGTCATATAAAATTTAATCCAGAAAAGAAAATCTTAAATTTTTATTACTCTATCAAAGAGCCAAAAATAGGGATGCCTGGGTGGCTCACTTGAATGAGCATCCAACTCTTAATTTAGGCTTGGGTCATTATGTCAGGGTTGGGGATCGAGCCCCACATTGGGCTCTATGCTGTGTGTGAAACCTGCTTGAGATTCTCTTCCCCTCTCTTCCCCCAAAGTCCTGCCCTCTCCCTATCTTAAAAAAAAAAGAGCCAAAAGTAAACTCATAATGAGTTATATATGAAATAAACTGCAGAACAACTATCTGAACAAAGATAATCATCTTACCATTTCTAATAGAATAGCTTGAGTTTTGGCCTCTTTTTCTGCCTTTATTTCTTCCACTTCTTCAGCTGTTCTTCCTTTGAAATCATCAATTTCTTCATCTGCTCCTATTCGACCACTCTGTAAAGGCAGAAGTTACTTAAACATATAGTGAAAAAATGGAAAAATCTGACAAACATGGGAGATGTGATGCTTTATCCTTAGTTCCATCAAATGTGTTAGAATAGAAACTGAAACTTACAAGCCTCTAAAAATTGATTTAAATTAATTTGATAATATGAGCGAGATGAAGCTTCTAATTTATTGTTAAATCAAGATAAGCATTATAAAGAAACTATCTGGTATCCAACTCAGTGCTGAATGCAGAAAATAAATGATCTTAAAAATTAAGCACCAAATCCCAACTATGAAGATCAATTCAGCTTTGAGAAAGCTTCATAAACAGAAACTTATACCTTAAAATATCTGAAGGAAAAGTCTGCATTATTCCACAAAAATTTCTGGGTTCTATCATGGCTCCAGAGTGTTCCCAGCTGAAAAGCTCCCTTACAAGATAATAGTTTACCCTAGCCTTAAAGCTACACTCCTAGAGTTAGAAGACAAGAAAAAACATTTTTGCAAGGTATTTACATAAGCTTTCAGAGCTAAGGCTCTTCTAGTGGAACAGAAATTGAAAAAAGGAAATTAGGGATATGAAAAGATAGCTAGAAAAATGACTATCTCTATGGAAGGGAAAAAGAATGCTAAACTTGTCCTAGTAGAACTGATCAAGAAAGACGGTCATTCTGAAGAAGTTTTAATAGACTAAAAAGCAAAATCTATGCAAAGCATTAATATGCATGTACATTTAATCACAAGAGGACTCTACTTACATCTAGCTGTTCCCTCGTAGGTTCTGGTGATCGATCAGGAATTAATAAATCAGGAGGGTCATCAAATGGATCATCTAAAATCACTGTATGATTTATCCTTACAAAATAAAACCGGGTCAAAGGTTCCATTTGCATTATTTCAGAATCCATGTTTTATTCTTTATAAAGATTATAACAAATGTCTTAAGTATTTCTAATGCCCAAAAATCATAGGCATTTAAATTTTAATGCACAGGTATGTGTTACTAGAGTATACTTTCACAATTAGTGTTACTGTTTCTCATTGCTCCATATTAGATTTACTACTCTGCATTACTCTAAAAATATTTCTAATATTAATATGTCTAACTCTATTTCTGACATATTTCTCAATAGTATACATTTTTAAAAACTAAATTAAGGATTAATAATTCTCCAACATAAGCAATTATAAATAATTATTAAAAGTATAAAAATACAAAAGGTCTTTTTTACTTTATGGATAGTACACTGGGATAGCAACCACACCTGATATCTTGATATGGTACAAAGTCCTTGTCAACAAAGGTCTCATTAATTTTCTTAATTATGTCCATGCCTTCTGTCACCTCACCAAACACTGTATGAACACCATCAAGGTAATCTAGATTATCTCCTGTAGTAATAAGAAACTGAATAGAAAAACATAGAAAAATATACATATATATCTGTAATTCAAACTGAAATCAGTTACAGACTGACAAAAATACACAAAAGCAATACTCTACATTCACTGCATGGATTCTTACCCACTTGGTACTAGTACTAACTAAAAAGTACAAGCTTATATGAAAAATATCAATACACACATAGATGCTTCTCTGATTCTTAAAAATACTTGGGCAAGGGGCACCTGGATGGCTCAGTGGGTTAAGCCTCTGCCTTCATCTCAGGTCATGATCCCAGGGTCCTGGGATCCAGCCCCGAGTCGGGCTCTCTGCTCAGCAGGGAGCCTGCTTCCCTCTCTCTCTGCCTGCCTCTCTGCCTACTTGTGGTCTCTGTCTGTCAAATAAATAAATAAATAAAATCTTAAAAAAAAAAAAAAAAGAGTTTCCTTCTCTACAATAAAATACAATACTTGGGCAAACCAAAGCTCAGTGTCTTCACATGTGAACTGTGAGGGGAAAAAAATGGGTTGTTGTCAGGATTAGACAATGAATGAAAGATTCTCAACATGATCTGTTTTGAAGTAATAAATACCAAAAGAAAACAGACCACAATGTGGACATTGATGATCCATGGATAGTAGGATTGTGGATAATGTTATTTTTCTCCCATGTACTTTTCTCTATTTTCTGAACTCCTGACACTGGACATGACTTACATTTAAAAGAACAAAGTACGGGTGACTGGGTGGCTCAATTGGTTAAGCGTCTGACTCTTGATTTCAGCTCAGGCCATGATCTCAATGTTGTGAGATCGAGCCCCGAGTCAGGCTCTGTGCTGGGCATGGAGCCTGCATGGATTCTCTCTCTCCCTCTGACCCTCCCTCTCTAATAAAAAAAATATAACTAACTAAATTTTTTTAAAAAGAACAAAGTAATTTCTTTAAAAGATTTTATTTGTAAGTAATCTCTACACCCAGCAAGGGGCTCAAACTCACCCCCAAGGAGTCACACATTTTACGGACTGAGCCAGCTAGGCACCCAGCAAAATAACTTCTTTATATAGAAAAATATACAGTATATTTTTCTTCTAACAACTATCGTTGAAATTCTCTTTTTTTTTTTTTTTAAAGATTTTATTTATTTGACAGACAGAGATCACAAGTAGGCAGAGAGGCAGGCGGGGGGGTGGGGGGGGAGGAAGCAGGCTTCCCACCGAGCAGAGAGCCTGATGCGGGCCTTGACCCCAAGTCCCTGAGATCATGACCTGAGCCCAAGGCAGAGGCTTTAACCCACTGAGCCACCCAGGCGCCCCTGAAATTCTCTTCTTATTGAATAGTTTAAAAAGATACCTTGTGACTCTTTCCAGTCCTTCATTTTAAAACAAAACTCATCTTGGGGTGCCTGGGTGGCTCGGTCAGTTAAGTCTCTGCCTTCAGCTCAGGTCATGGTCCCAGGGTCCTGGTACTAAGCCCTGCGTTGGGCTCCCTGGTCAGCAGGGAGTCTGCTGTCCCTTGCCCCTCCCCCTGCTCATGCTCTCAATCTCTCTGAAATAAATAAAATCTTTAAAAAAATATTCTCTACATAAAAAAAAATAATAAAAATATTAAAAACTCATCTTCTTACTCATTTCCTAACCTGAGATCCATGTTGATCACTGCCATTGTTCACCATGGACACGGTGCCTTTCTTCTTGTGCTTAATTCTTGGCACTTTTTCAGCCTCGAAAAAGCTTGCTTGATCACCATACAGTTGACTGAAAATACATATAATAAAGTTATAAAATATAAGTACTCTCAACATGAAATGCAAAGTACTAGTAACAAGTAGGATTACCATTTCTTTTTAGGAATGCCACTATGATTAAAATACTTTTTTTTTTTTTTTTTGCTATAGACATTTAGGGAGACTGAAAAAAAATCTGTATTTGAACTGTATTTTAAAATGCAGATTGAAATATGTTAGATAACACTGTTGAGGCAATTCTACTTTTTCTCTTTTAAAAATAAAAGAACTCACCCAAAAACAGACTCTCCTCCACGACCAGTCCCTGTAGGATCACCAGTTTGTATGATAAAATCCCTCTATAATAAATAGGATATTTAGTTAATTCCGAGTTTGCTAAATGGTTCCAATAATATAGGACATGACTAATATCCACCAACTCACCTGTACATTATGAATAAGACAATAATTATAATACTTTATTTTGCACAACTTCAGGAAATTCAAGCAGGCTGAAAGAGAAGTAAATAGTAAATTTATCATAGTTGTTCACAAAAACATTTTAAACCAAGTAAATGCATAGTTGGCATAATTTAATTTCTAAATTATCAACCAAACACCCCCAATAGTCAAATATCCTAAATCATAAAAAAGGTGTAAGTGTACAAAAAGGCAATAAGTTTTATATTTCAATATATTTATCTTTTTATTCTCTTTGTCTTAGGACTTCTTGGGCATCTGAACTAATGCAGTAAACTGATAAGTATTTGGGATAGGCAACCATTTATTAATGGATTAGTTCTGCAAGAGAAAAAAAAACCCAAAGAGGATACTATGATGGAAAAGAATCTGAGTACCTGAAAAGGTGTACAAATTATATAAACTAGAGAAAATCAAGTATCTGAGACCAATTTCTTAAATGACTAAATAGCTCCTCACAAAAATCCATATACTTATCATGTAGCAGCTTTCTCATATAAATGCACTCATTACTCAATAAATATTTACAGAGTCTCTTCTAGGTGCTTGGCACTGCTATCACAAATGCCATTAAACCATAGTCCCTCCCCTCAAGAAATTCATAGTCTAGCTGTACACTAACAAACTCTCCAAACACTAAGCTAGAAATCAGACAGAAAGACCTATGAGGCTATCCAGAGTCCTTACACCCAAGAAAAAATAGTTACAATACCAGATATATCTAATACCATCTGTGCCATTTATATAATAAAATGGTAAAAAGTGGTTTTTAAAAAGCCACAAGAGTTCAAAAGAGATTGTTTCTGGCCAGGGAAATTAGAAGACCTTAACTAAAAACAATTAATAAGAAGCGGCACCTGGGTGGCTCAGTGGGTTGAGCCTCTGCCTTCGGCTCAGGTCATGATCTCAGGGTCCTGGGATTGAGCCCCGCATCAGGCTCTCTGCTCAGCGGGGAGTCTGCTTCCCCCTCTCCCTCTCTGCCTGCCTCTCTGCCTACTTGTGATCTCTGTCTGTCAAATAAATATATAAAAATCTTAAAAAAGAAGAGGCTTAAGGTGGGCATTAAAAGAACTAGACAAGCAAAGAGTAGAGAGTGAGCATTTCAAGTTGGGAAGACAGTAGGAATAAGCCTGGATGTGCAAATATAAATGTTTTTCAAAGGGTCCAAAAGACCAGTCTAAGCTCTGTAACACAGGTAATACAAAGTGAGAGAGTGTAAATAGACCAGCAGGGCAAGATGGGCCCATGGGATGGAAAGTGCTTGAGTATCAGGATTTTTATTGTTTGCCTAGAAAAATACATTTCTGGGATTACTGTTTAATACAAAAAAGTAGTTCTTTAACTAGAAAACAAAAATAATGGATCTAGGCAGTGATCATCAATGGCTGCCAAAATGTTTAGATGAAAAGCTAATGGGGACACTGCAACAGACACAACAGGTAGAAAAGCCTGAACCCACCAACCAATTTTAACTTCACAGGAAGAACCAACCAGACATGAAGTGCTTCCTGAATGTGATGCAGCTAAAGTGCAAAAGACCTTATATGAAAATATTCTTGCCAAAAACATTAAACCTGTACTTTATCAAGACTAGATTTAAGTGGCCATTATGAGAAACAGAATAGATAAAAATACATTTAAATATACAACAAGGATAAAATCAGTCAAATCCAAAATGAGGGAAATTCTATAAAATAAATTACTCAGATTCCTTCTCAAAAAATTGTTAAGGTAGAGGTGCTTGGGTGGCTCAGTCAGTTAAGCCTCTGACTCTATTTCAGCTCAGGTCATGATCTCAGGGTCCTGGGACTGAGCCCTGTGATGGCTCCACTCAGAGTCTGCTTGTCCTTTTCCCTCTGCTCCTCTCCTGCTCATTCTCTCTCTCTTTCTCTCTCTCTCAAATAAATAAATAAATAAATAAACTCTTTAAAAAAGTGAAGTTGTTAAGGGAAAAATGGGGGTGGGGTGGGGAAGAACCTATAGATTAAAAGATATCAACCAATATAACATATAGATTTTGGCAGTTTCTTTTCTTTTTTTTTTTTTCTTTTCAGCATAACAGAATTCATTGTTTTTGCACCACACCCAGTGCTCCATGCAATACGTGCCCTCCATAATACCCACCACCTGGCTCCCCCAACCTCCCAACCCCCGCCCCTTCAAAACCCTCAGGTTGTTTTTCAGAGTCCATAGTCTCTCATGGTTCATCTCCCCCTCCAATTTCCCTCAACTCCCTTCTCCTCTCCATCTCCCCATGTCCTCCGTGTTATCTGTTATGCTTCGCAAATAAGTGAAACCATATGATAATTGACTCTCTCTGCTTGACTTATTTCACTCAGCATATCTCTTCCAGTCCCGTCCACGTTGATACAAAAGTTGCGTATTCATCCTTTCTGATGGAGGCATAATACTCCATAGTGTACATGGACCACATCTTCCTTATCCATTCTTAGATCTTGGCAGTTTCTTACAAAACTGAACACAATCTTACCATACAATTTAGCAATCTAGCAAATACACTTCTTGGTATTTACTCAAAGAAAATGAAAATGTATTTTCACACAAAAACCTGCACACATGTTTACAGCGGATTTGTTCACAATTGCCAAAATATGGAAACAACCAAGATGTCCTTCAGCAGGTGACTGAATAAATAATATGTGGTACATCCAGACAATGGAATATTATTATTTGCTACAAAAAAGAAATGAGCTATCAAGCCATGAAAAGACATGAAAGAACCTTAAATGTATATTACAAATTGAAAGAAACCAATCTGTAAAGACTACATACTGTATGATTCCATTCATGTAACATTCTGGAAAAAACAAATCTATGGATATGGTAAAAGATCACTGGTTGCCAGGAGATGCGGAGAGATGTGCAAATAAATAGGGAGAGCATGATTTTTCTGTATGATACTGTAATGGTGGATATATGCATTATATATTTGTCCAGACCCATACCTGGAGTGTACCTCAATGTAAACTATGGGTTATGACATGTCAGCATAGGTTCATCAAATATATCACTGTAATGTGTGTACAGTGTTACATAGTACAAATAATACAAATGTACAACAAAGGTACACTCTGGTGGGGGGTATTGAAAATGGGGGAGGCTGCACATACGTGGCAATAGGGGGTATACAGGAAATCTCTCTACATATCTTCCCCTCAGCTTTGCTATGAACCTTAAATTGCTCTAAAAAATAAAGTTTTTAAAAATAGGCAAAAGGGGCGGTAACCAGAGCATAATGTATAGAGAAATTGAATTACTATCTTACACCCGAAACTAATGTAACATTATGTGCCAACTAAACTCAAACAGGTTTTTTTTTAAAAAAGGCAAGGGGGAGTTCTATAGATCAAAAGATATTTAAGAGCTATATCAGCCAATATAATAAATGAACCTTGTTTGGGTCCTTAAATTACCAAGTATTTTTTAAACACTTATGAGACAAAGGGAAATATGAATGATACCAAAAAATTATTGCCAATTTTTTCAGATGTGATAATGATTTGTGGTTATTTTTTTAAAGATTTTATTTATTTATTTGAGAGAGAGAGAGAATAAAAGAGAGAGAGAGAGCATGAGAAGGTGGAGGGTCAGAGGGAGAAGCAGACTCCCTGCTGAGCAGGGAGCCTGATGCAGGACTCGATCCCAAGAGCCGAAGGCAGTCACTTAACCAACTGAGCCACTTGTGGTTATTTTTTTTATCACTTTTTAGAAACACAAACTGAAGTAACCGCAGATTAAATAAGTCCCATGTAATGGATTTATTCCCAAAAAATCCAGTATAAATGAAACAATATTGGTTATGTGTTGACAAGTTCATTAACTGGTCATTGGCACAGGAGGGCTCATTTTCAAGACTCTTTCTCCTTCTGTATATAAGTTTTCTATAATAAAAAGTAAAAAAAAAGGAAAGAAATGGAAGGGAGAGAGGGAGGGAAAGAGGAAGAAAATTAAGTCTGGATATATTTACTATAAAGTGGTAAGTAGTTATACATGTAAGTAAATATCCAGTCACGGGCTTACAAATACATACAAATGGGGTGGGCTTATGTTTTTAGTCTTCCAAACTATCTTTAAAGAATCGCTGTTTGTCTATTCTGTCTGTGTTAACTAGGTAGGATAACCCTACCTCCCCTTTAGTTCCTCAGATGCTGTCCCACATGAAGAGAGTATCAAACAAATTCAAAGGAAAGGAAAACCAAGGGATGAAAAATACAATTGCCTATAATATCCTTTGAATCCCTGGATCCCACCATTCTTAAAGCCAAGCTTACCTCAGTAACAGAAGGCACTCAATTATTTTCTTTGTTTAAGCCAGTTTGAGTTTCTATCATCTGCACTGAGAATCCTAACTAATAAACACATTTATATACATTAATCAATCATGTAATGAGCCTTTAGTGTGTGCAAAGTGGCAGGCACTGCACCAGGCACTTAGCATAGAAAGACAAGGAAGGAAGGCATAGTCCCTGCTCTCTTGGAGTTTACATTCTTGAAGGGAGACAAGATTTGCAAACGATTCCAGGATAACAGGTAAATGATATAACAAAATGTGTTACGTGCTGTTTTAAAAGATCTCAGAGCAGAAGAAACATACCTAATTCTGCCCAGGGATAAGGGAGAGCTTCACAGAAGAAATCATGCTTGATAAGCAGGAAGTTTGCCAAAAGGACAACAGTAGAAAGAAACATGGAAGTAGAAGCAACAGTACGAGAAAGGCATGGAAGTATAATTGAGCATGTAGTGTTGGGGGTTGGGGGTACAACTCAGTGTGGGACAGAGTGTAATATGGCAGAAGTATGTACTGTTTCATCCTCTTTGACAGACTACATGCCAGGGGGACAGGATCCTGATTGTAACTAATCTCTGTGGCCTCTAGTTTCTCCCAGCTCTGACATCGTCTCCACACTGTTGCCTGTCATCTTTCTAGAACATATTTACCATGCCTCAATCCTGCCTTTAAAACCTTCAAAGATGCTAGGCATCAGTAGGGCACACAAGGCTATTCACATCTGACCTAACCAACATAATTTATACAACCAGACTCATACTTTGCCATTCCACCTCATGTATCATTCCTTCAAGCCATACCAAACTACTTGCTGTTTCCAGAAAATTCCAAGCAAACTAAACAAACAAACAAACCGAACAAACAAAAAAACCACCCTCATTCCCACTCATCTTTGAAAGAGCTAGTTCAAGTGTTCTACTTTCTTGGCTTGCTTTGCTTCTCCCTGACCCCAACGGGGAAGAATTACTCCCTCCACTGGTTTCCATAGCAACTTACATTCTTCAACTACAACACTTACAATGGACATACAACAATTAAAGGGGCTCCCAGGTCTATTTCTCCCAGTAGAAAATTAGACCGTCAAGGACAAGATGCCTATCCCAGAGCTTGGCACAGTCTCGCACAGCAAACGATGAGTGTTTGCTAGGGCTCCGAGCACATCTCCGGACAGCCCTTCCTCCGCCCAGGAGGGATGCTCATACTCACTGCTTCAAACAGCATCCTTCCCGCTTCCATCAGGAATTACTGATTACACACCAAGGAATACAGGTTGTGTTCCTCTCACGAGTAAAACTCAGTAAATACCCACAAAAGCTATGCGCATGGTATATGCAGCCTGCATTTCCACCCCTCTCCCAACACACACAAGCACACATCACAGGCATTTAATGCCACAAGCACCCGCCACCCGATCGGCTCGCCCCAGATACAGGAGAGAGGCTGCTCGTCACAAAAACTTTTCTTCGAACCACGGCCCGCTAATAAAATAGCCCTGTCGTGGGCACCAGTAGCCCAGAAGCTTGAACCCAGTCAAAGGGACCGGGCAGCGAAGAGACAGTGAGGAAAGGAGATCGGGGCCACGGCCAGACCGGACCGGGGCCCGGGTCTCACCGCGCGGCCGCTCCTCAGTGTACAGATCGATGACGACGTCGCCCAAAGTTGTCTCCAGCAAAACCGCCATGGCGCCCGCTCCTCCTCCGCAACAAGCCGCGGGTGTGACAGGCGCAGCCCGTCGTGGGTCTACGCCTCACGTCACTCTTGGCGCGACGCCTTTTACGTCATCCCTGCGGCGACGACCCTCCGGTGGCGGCCGGCCTGGTCAGCGCCTGGCCCTCCCTGTGCTGGCGTGGTGAACGTGTGTCTCGCCTCCGACGCGGCCCGTTTGAAAATCCTGGTTCTTCCAGGGCAACTGGCGCGGAAGCCTGTAGCTTAAAAGGACTTTTGTAAAGGGTTTTGTGTCCACCTCAAGAACGGAGGGGGACCTTCGAGCGGCCCTTTTTTCTCTGCTCCTGGGGAAGCATTGAGAGCGACCGCGGCGCCTGCTTCTCCCACGTTATTATTGGGACGACTACTCTGGATTTCGTAATCAGGGGTTTTCGTCGTCCTGAATCAAAACCTTTAGGCCTTAAATGTATAGTTTGTTACCCAGAAAGGTGACTAACAGGGAATTCTTCCCTGGCTGATCGTGCCCAGGATAGAAGCTCTGCTCGCCGTAACAGCGACTGGTCTTTAGAGCGACAAGCTAAAAAAACAGTAGGCTTCAGCCCCAAATTTCTACTGGTTTTATCAGTAGTCTTTAACTTTGAAGACTTAAAAAAACGATTTTTGGCCTCTGTTGAGGATTTCCACGTGAAGTTTATTCCACCCCCCCAATTCTGACAAAACAGATCACTTTTGTACCATTTTGTACAATTATAGCTTCCAATTACTTCACATCTGACTAAAACCCAACGTTTTTACAATGGTCTGCAAGGCCTTACATGATACTCTTGCTGCTAATCTACCTGTCTTCTCTCTTACTTTGAAGCCACACTACATTTTTGCTGTTCTTTGCGCACTGTTGGCCACACTTCTGCCTCTGGGCCTTTGGGCTGGCTGCCCACTCTGGTTACAACCCTCTTCCTCTAGATATTTTCATGGCTCTCCTTCACCTCCTTTTGGTCTTTTGCTCACTTGTCACCTCTCAGTGAAGCCTTCCTTGCCTGACTACCATAATTAAAATTAAGCCCACATACATACACATTTGTTTTTCTGCATAAAGCCTTTTCCACATGGCTCTTTATTACCTAACATGCTATTTATGAATTTGTTTATGATAAATATGAATATATTTTTATATTACTGAAACGTAAGCTCTAGAAGGCTAGAGCCAATTTTGCAAGTTTTATTTATTGCTGTATCCTTAGTGTCTATGACAGCCTGCCACATAATGGGTGATTAAACATTGAGTGAATTAATGAATATTGGCAATTAATTAAAGAAATGCATATTAAAATAACAATGAGATTGTTTATGGGAATATAAAATGGTAGAGCTATTTTGGACAGTGCATAGAACTCCAGTCAGAATGGCTGAAATTAACAAGTCAGGAAAGGACAGATGTTGGTGAGGATGTGGAGAAAGGAGAACCCTCCTACACTGTTGGCAGAAATGCAAGCTGGTGCAGCCACTCTGGAAAACAGTACGGAGGCTTCTCAAAAAGTTTAAAATAGAGCTACCCTAGGACCCAGCAATTGCACTACTGGGGATTTACCCCAAAGACACAAATATAGTGATCCGAAGGGGCACAGGTACCCCATCGTTTATAGCAGCAATGTCCACAATAGCCAAACTATGGAAAGAGCCTAAATGTCCATTGACAGATGTATGGATAGAGAAGATGTAGTATAGGGGGAATATGCAGCCATCAAAAAATTGAAATCTTGCCATTTGCAATGACGTGGATAGAACTAGAGAATATTGTGCTAAGTGAAATAAGTCAACAGAGAAAGACAGTTATCATACGAACTCACTGATTCGGGGAATTTAAGAAACAAAACACGATCATAGGGGAAAGAAAAGAAAAATAAAACAAGATGAAATCAGAGAGGGAGACAAACCATAAGAGGCTCTAAATCATAGAAAACAGACTGAGAGTTGCTGGAGGGGAGAGGGTGAGGGGATGGGGGAACTGGATGATTCACATTCAGGAGGGCCTGTGATGTAATGAGCACTGGGTATTATATACGACTGATGAATCACTGAACTCTACCTCTGAAACTAATAATACACTATATGTTAGTTGAATTTATTTATTTTTTAATATTTTATTTATTTACTTGAAAGAGAGGAAGGGAGCACAAGCAGAGGGAGAGGCAGAGGGAGAGAGAGAAGCAGCCTCTCTGCTGATCTGGGAGCCCGATGATGCAGGGCTTGATCCCAGGACCCTGGGATCATGAACTGAGCCCAAGACAGAAGCTTAACCAACTGAGCCACCCACGCACAATTAATTGAATCTAAATTTTTAAAAATTCTGTGTATGGTTATAAGACATAGATCAAGAGAAAGAGAAGATTTGGAAAAATTAAATATTTTTTAAAGACAAATTTGGACTATTCAAAGATAATGAGAAATTGACATAATAAATATGAGGAATGATTTCACATATAAAGTGATTCACTAATCACCATAAATGATATGACCAGACTCTTTTGCAAACTCCAGGCCTAGGTGTGATATCTTAAGCCTAAGATAGAATACCTTATTTATTCTTCAGTGTGCAATTTGCTGTATCTTTAAATTATGTTATAGTGAATATATATACACACATAGACACAATGATATATCACTAAATATCAAATATTCTACCTTCATGGGGAAAATATTTCATGATGTTATATAGTTCATGCTTATCAGCATCTTATTACATTTTAAATTCTAACGGTATAAATACTTACGTGGTTTATACAGTAGATACATAGGTGAAAAGAAACGAGATACATCCTTCACAATTCTACCAAATGTAACTACTAAAGTAGATTCAGTCTAGAGAAAAGATTAGTAAATGTGTATTGTCTTCCGAATATCACCATCACCAACCACTACAACCAATTTCTCTGTTGACATCATTTCATATATTAATCTGAACAACCACATTCAAATGTCTGTAGCTTTACTAAAATTGCCAAAGGTAAAATCCTGATTTTAAATGACTAAATGTATGAACAACAAAAACACATATTTATGATCATATGTAATATTATTTTGTGCAGAAGCATTCATGTGTTTGACAAGTCCAGCATGGTTTTCTTTACTCAACTTCTGTTCCTTTTCCTGCCGTTTCCCCTCACACCCTGAAGAATCTCAGTTTGGTGAACTAAGATTCATCCTAGTCACTGTTGTCATTACATTTACAGTAAAATGTCTGGGACAGTGGCAGTCAGAGGGCTAGAGACCATTTCTGGCTGGCTGGAAAGCAGGACATTTTGCCCTTGTTGGAAGCAATCTTTATCTGCTTCTTCATCTGCCTGTCCTTGTCAAGGACTTCAACCACCTTTTCTTTGTTGTGATTATTTTAGCATTGACCTTTTCCATAGGTATGGTGTTTTAAAATGTGGGCTTTATTATTATGCATGTACAGTAAAGCCAACAGGTCAGGAGATGATTGCCATTGAAAAGATAGTTTGTTATTCACAATGGGGTTGGGGGGGCGCACACCATGCCATGCAAGACTAAATAGAAAAGTACAAGTGTTGGTCAGGATATTGAAGGAGCCAAGAGAAAACTATAGGCAGGAGTCCTTTTTCTAGTTTCCATGGGGAAGGTGAGACAAGGTAGGATAAACAGGTTTAGAATTGGCTAGTGTGAATAATTTTGCTGGGCTCTGGGGTATATAGGCTATCTCTAGTTGTCTTGTACCTGGTCTTGGGATGATTAGGACAGAGGAATATTGCCTCCTGGACTGCAAAAGCCTGATAGAAGAAGAGATTCAAAATATGGGCTCTGGATTGATTGTTTTGCATATAAAAGGCATGCTGTGAATTAATAGAAAATATATATTGGTCTTTGCCCCCCAGTTCCTGCCATGGAGATCCTGAAACCCTGTTAATTTCCTAAATGACACAAACACTAGGAGCATCTCTTATTTTGAGATTGGTTTCTCTCTGGGGCACCTGGGTGGCTCAGGTCATGGTCCCGGGGTCCTGGGATGGATCCCCGCATTGGGCTCTCTGTTCAGCAGGGAGCCTGCCTCTCTGCCTACTTGTGATCTCTGTCTGTGAAATAAATAAATAAAATCTTTAAAAAATATCTGAGAAAAAGATTGGTATCTCTTTTTTTAAAGTAAGTTCTAGTCCCAATGTGGGGCTTCAACTCATAACCCCAAGATTGAGAGTCACATGCTCTACCAACTCAGCAGTCAGGCACCCCTAATATTGGTCTTTGACTCTGTTTCCGAAGGTCTTGTGATCTCATGGGTATTAAGAGTGTCTTTTGTTCTACTGAGGTAACTCTGGGTGGGTTTCTGGCTGGCTCCTGGATGAGGACTGGTCACCAGAAAGACCAGGATGTGGCTTAGAATTTTCAGCCCTGCCCCTCATTCTCTTGACATGACACAAGAGCTGAAAATGGAGTTACTGATTGATGATGCCTCCATTAAAATCTCCTAAGTACAGGGTACAGAGAGCTCCAAGGCTGGTGAATAGGGGGAGGTGCTAGGAGTATGGTATGCCTGGAGAGGGATGGAAGCTCTGCCCTCTCCCACATACCTTACCCATGTGTGTCTTTCCAACCGTTCATTTGTATCTTCTATTATATCCTTTAACAAATGGGGAAACCTAAGTGTTTCCCTGAGATCAGTGAGTTGCTCTAGCAAATTAATCCAGTCTTTGGAGGGGGTCATTAGAACCTCTGCTCTGTAGCTGATTGGTCAGAAGTATAGGTCATAACCTGGGCTTGCAACTGGCATCTGAAGTATGTGTGGGTGAGAGTAGGTGGGGGCTGTCTCAGGGGAGCCCTGATCCTGTGGGATCTGATGCAATCTCTAGGTAGATAATATCAGAATTTAATTAAATTGTAGGACACTTAGTTGGTGTGGCCAAGAACTGCCTACTGGTATGTGCCAAAACCTCCAACAAACTCCAACTTTAGCAGGCTTTTTTACTGTTTTTTGTCCACAGCCTTCCTGGGGCTCAGAGCTAGCCATGGAGACAAATGGAAGAATAATGGAT